TAATCGTCTTGGTTTTGAAGAAGGGAAATTATTAGCAAAAGCTATTCGTAAGAATACTGCTTTGACTTCATTGCGTTTTCAAGAAAGTCAATCTAATTTAAAATGCTTAAATGCATTATTAAAATGTCTTTGTAAAAATTCAACTTTGATTTCTCTAGACATTGGTGATAATTATATTAGATTTGAAGGAATGAAAGTATTAGCAAAAGCTCTTTGCACAAACACTACTTTAACTTCCTTAAATCTTTCTAATAATCGACTTGGTTCTGAGGAAGGAAAGTTATTAGGAGAAGCACTTTGCGTTAATACTACTCTGATTACTTTAAAGATTTGTCACAATCGACTTGGTTCTAAAGGAGGAAAAGCATTAGCGGAAGCTCTTCATAAAAATACTACTTTAACTAATTTAGATATTAGTAATAGTATAATTGAAGATGGTGGAAAAGCAATAGCAGAGGCTCTTTGCGTAAACACTGCATTAACTTTTTTAGATCTTTCTAATACTGAGCTTTTTTTGGGGAGCGTAAAAGCGCTAGCAGAAGCTCTTTGCATTAATACTACTTTAACATCATTAAATATTTGCGATAATTCTATTGATTTTAAAGGAGGAAAAGAAATTGCAAAGGCTCTTTGTAATAACAAAACCTTAACTTACTTAGATTTTAGCCATAATAACATTAGGTTTAAAGGAGGGAAAGCACTAGCAGAAGCTCTTAGCATCAACAATACACTAACTTCTTTAAATATTAGCAATAATAATATTGGATTAAAAGGAGGAAAAATCTTGGCAGAGGCTCTCCATAAAAATATCACATTAACCTCCATAGAGTTTTATGACAACGATTTTGATTACAAAAATTTAAGCAATTTAAAAGAATTTTCTTATAAAGTAATATCATTTCGAGGAAAATTCGGTGTATTGAAGTTTATTAACGATAAACAACAATATTGATTAATAAAGACTTCAAGGTATCATTTATTTTTGTTTAAACTTATTATTCTTTGTTAATATGTAAAGTTGTTTGCTTATGTTCAAAACAATTTATCAAATTGGCGGAAGATTTATTGACATTTAAAATTTGGAATAATTTGCTTTATTATTTGAATAGGTTCAATTATATATAACTACGTTACCTTTCGATAATAAAAAAAATTTTTGGCAGAAAAGAATTGTTGTTTCTCTCAAAAAAGTTGCCATAATATTAATAAAATTTAATCACTTTCTTTGCATTATTATTTATAAATTACTTATTTTGAGGATCGAAAAATCTTATATAACATTTATTTACAAAAATATTTGGAAAAATTAAGGCGAATTGGTAAAACTTTCTCAAAGCTTTCTAATAATATAATCTACTATCCTGTATTGTATCTTGCCTCAACTATCTATTGCGGGATATAAAGGCGCTTATTGTGTTTGCAAATTAGTCTATAAAAATTTTCAACTGGACAATCGCGCTCATAAATTATTTCAGATTGACTTAATTAAATAAACTCTTTGGTCTTACTAGTATTAAGGATTTTGAAAAAAATATGAGTAGTCAAAATTAAATTTTGAGTTACGTGAAAAGTTTGAAATCTTTAGTATCTTTTAACTTTCATAATACTGTAATATTTGATCGAAAAATTCGTGATCTAGATACTTTACAGAACCTAGATTTTTTGCTAAATATGTTTAAAATATAGGTAAAATTTAGTTTCGAATATGTAATTTAATTTTGATAATGTTATCTTAATAATATCTTACTTGTTACCATATTTTTATCAGCTAATAAAAACTTTTTAAAAGAAAAATTACTAATTTAATTATAAATATTTATAAATTGAAGGTATAATTAAAATTTAAAATAGACAAATTATAAGTAAAATTGGCCACAATTCAATATTTAATAAATAAATTGTGTAATGAATAACTATTATTTATAAATTTACTATAATTGTTATTCATTTAAATATTATAACTATTTTTTACAGTATTTATTAAAAAATATATTTATTATGTATTTAATATATTTTAATTACATTAATTTTTTTTATAAAATATTTTAAAAATATTTTAACAACTTAGATATTATTGAAATAACAGAAATATAAAAATATTTTTTACAATAATTTCATAATATATCTAATATATTTTTATAATATTTATATTATATTTTATTTTTGTAATATTTAATAATATAATAAAAATAAGTTAATTATATTATAATTATATTTAAGCAAATCTATGGGTTTCTATAATGTACTTGTATTTTTATGGTTCCATATTTTATTATTGAAAAAAGTTAATAATTTCATAAATTCGAAAGTTAGATTATTCTTCTTATTTGTACATTACCGTCCTACTAGTTTTGTTAGTTGGATCTAAGCTATCGACTGATTAAGTCAAATTTATAATAGCTAACTTAGCAGACTTAGTCGACTAAAGTTTTATAAAAACAAAATTTCCGTGATTTTTTCGATAGGTATTAAAATCCATTATCTATTATAAGCTCAGCCAAGGCGAACCCTTAAGTGCGTATCAAGCCACATAGAATGATCTTGCGAAAAATGCTGGATAGCGCAGAGACAAATCACAGCTTATACTGCAGCAATTACGTGACAAAATGTTAGATGACTTTTACTTTGCACAATTCAGCATTGACCAACCCATCTACGGAAAAATTAAATAACTTATGTATTTAACTCATATCGCTAAAAATAACTGACGTTATATCGATATAATTATTTTTTTGCAGGGTGTGAGTCACTACACCAATTAATTTTATTATCTCTATACTTAGTCGACTAAGCCAGTTTTTTAAAAAGTCTGCTGACTTAGCCGGCTAAAATTGTTAATGCTAATATCACTACAGCCAATTTTTTGGTACTTACATAATCGGTTTTGAGAGCTAATTTTGGAATAATTGATTCTGACTGGTTAAATAAACTTCTTTTCTTTTTTTTTATATTAAATGCCAATTTTTTAACTATTATAAACTTTAACTTCTTATAAGTTTCTTAAAATAATCAGATATGAACGATCCAGACGAAATTTACAGGCTTGGAAATTGTTACAAATATGGAATTGAAATTGAAAAGGATGAAACATAGCATTCAAATATTATCAAAATAGGTATTGGATTGAAACAGATAAGAATAAAGCATTTACATATTATCTGAAGGCTGCTGATGCAGGTAATTCTATGGGAATTTGGAAAACTACAATTTGTTAAATATATGGAATTGGCGTTGAGAAGGATGAAGATAAATCTTGGAAATGGATTGAAAAGTATATTAATTTTATTAATATAATGTTTGCTTATAGTTTATTTAAAAATTTCTTACACAATTTTAATTATCAGGGAGTAAGCATAAAATGCATTCATTAATCTATATCAGCAATTTAAGCTTAAAATATTATTGTTTATTATTTTAATCCGTAAGTACGTATAATGAATAGCATTTAATAATTTTACGAATAAAAAATGTCAAAATAGGTTAACAGAACAAGAATATAAATACTTATTTACCATTACGTACAAATCATTTCATTTAGCATGTAAGCATAAAGAACATTTAATAATTTTATGAAGTAAAAACAGTAAAACAAGTTCACAAAATAAAAACATAAATATTTATTTACCATTACATATTGATCATTTTATTCACATTAATTTAGCCTGTATGTATAAAGCATTTAATAAGTTTACGAAATAAGAATAACGAAACAAAGTCCACAAAAGAAGTACATAAATACTTATTTACCATTATGTATAAACCATTTACGCATTAATCATTTCATTTAGCATGTAAGCATAAAGAACATTTAATAATTTTACGAAATAAAAACAGCAAAGAAGCACATAATAAGATCATAAATACCTATTTATCATTACGTATTAATCATTTTCATTGTATTAATCATTTAATTCAGTGAGCGAAAATTAGGGTTGGATCGGTCCGTCCGTCTCAGTCCTAATAAAACCGCTCCCAATAATATCTACGATTTAGTTCGGTCCGGTCCCCGGTCTAAAAATAAGCTATTTTCATGTGAGTGATTGTCAATTTTTAACTATCATCATCGAAATAAAATTCATGCAAGAATGATTTTTAACTATTTAAAAGGTTATTTTATAGCTTTTTTAACTATCAAAAAGCTTATTTTAATAGTTTGTTCTTAACCGGTCTGAACTGCCGAAGACCGAGGACCATATAGCCGGTTAAAAAGACCGGTCCTTAACTGGTCTTCTCAGGACTGATTCAACCTTAGTGAATATAAAGAACATTTAATAATTTTATGAAATAAAAACCGCAAAACAAGTTCACAAAACAAGAACATAAATTAATTCAGTCGGTAAGTATAAAATTATTTACATTCGATATAAAGTTTAAAATTGCAGATGTGAAATAAAACATTATATATTATATAGATATTTTACATATGGAAAATGTGCTCATAGTAATGAATATAACACGCAACCAACGTGTTTTATAACATGCAACCCTGACTTAACAACAAAGTGGACAATTGGAAATAATGATTGCGTGAAAGAATTCAACTTAGAACCCGTAAACATGAAGATGCGATTAATAGATTATCTGATGTTGAAGTTGGCTCTGTATATTCAGCAATCAGATTGGTTGGCATACGAATAGTTGATTATGGTAATTATAATTATGTAAGTTGTGAAAGTGTAGACTTGACCTGAATCGGGAAAATCGGCGATATGGATATCAATATACACTCTAAACTACCCAACTTTATCGAACCATAATGGTGGAAGGCACGAAAGAAGACGTGGAAAGACTTGGTCCGAGCTATTAGGGTAAGGCCAAATAGAGTAAGATAGTTTATCGGGATTTAGGAGAACGACTATATACGCAAGACGTTTAAAGGATGAATATAGACTCTAGTTGAGTCGAACTCTTCTGAGTTATGTCAACTCTCAGTGAGTTCTTTTTATTGAAGCAAGAAGAGTCGCTTTTATAGTTTTTACATGCTTATCTAATTACAGGTTTTAAGGTTGAACTTCGTAGCGAAATGGCATTAATTCTCGAAGTGTCATTAATGTAATTAATGGAAGTAATTCCATTCTGTCACTAATACCATAAAAGGAATAAAGGCCGTAAAAGGGATAAAGGCCATAAATGGAATAAAGGCCTTAAATGGCACAAATGAGAAGTGAACTTTACAAAACTACTGACAACTAAGATAACACTAAAATAGAAAACTAGTCCCTCCGGAGCCCCTCACAAAGTACATGTGAACAATCCAGCATCGTTGCACTCAAGACGCTAACCTGTTTGGAGGAAAATAATTTTGATTTTTTAAAAGAAGTTATCCATTGCATTTTTTTATTCATCATATAATAGTTTGAGTAGAGTTTAGGTTTTATAGTTCTAAACAGAGACCCAATATTTCAGCATTAGCTGCGACATTTATTGCTTTTATAATTCTTAATAATTTATTGAACTAATTTTTTATTTAAAAGTTTGGTGAAATGTAAATTAAATTTTAGTAAGCTCGCAATATATGGAATAACCCAAAAGCAGAAACCAATGAACACCTGATGGTATTTCAGTATGCTAATAAAGGGAGCCTTTATAAATATTTAAGAGAGAATTTTCGTAAGCTTACATGGCAAACTAAATTACGAATACTTAAAGTTATTTTATATTCACAAACATTCATACTGTACTATATTCATCTTACCAGACTTAACTATATATTTTATAAAAGAGTTTTGAAATGTATGCATACTTACAATATATACCAACAGAAGTTTTAAGAAGCTTTGCATGATGATATCGAAACATGAAGAATTTGAAGCAGATTTTCATAGCGGCAACATTTTGCAGGGCCAATGCACTAATAAAAATGCACAATCTTATATCGCGTATCTAGAATTGTCTTGAAATAAAGATGAATGCATTTCAGAGGACGATATTTGGGAGTTATGCCCTATGTTGCACCTGAAGTTTTATCAGGAAAAATGCAGTTTACACAAGTACGAATTCAGATCCACAAGAACGGACATTTATAAAGAAATTTATGGTTGGCTTAATAAGTTAGTTTCAGATGATGAAAATGAAATCAATGAATGCAGAACAAATAATTAAAACGTTGACAATAATTCCTCAAAATCATCGAGATGATATGTTTACATACTAGAGTTGCAGGTGAAACTAATCTTCAATGGCGCACCGATGGTGCACAAGATGAAACTGGTGAAACTGGTGCACCGATGGTGAAATTAGAGTTATAGATGAAATAATCTTCAACAGTGCACCGATGGTGCACCAGTATCCTGGTGAAATTACCTGCAACTCTAGCACTGTACATACGCCATTCATATTATAGTATTACATGAGACATAAATTAATTAGGCTAAATTATGCATTATTCAGTGAGAGTAGTGAAACCATTCAATAACATTTATAGGCTTTGTAGAGCTGCATCGTATAATTTAGGACGGAGGGAAGGCAATAGCAGAAGCTCTTTGCATCAACAATACTCTGATTTCTTTAAATATTAACAATAATAATATTGGATTAGAAGGAGGAAGAATCGTGGCAGAGGCTCTCCATAAAAATTCTTCCATAGAGTTTTATGAGAATGATTTTGATTACATAAGCAAGTTAAAAAAATTTTCTTATAAAAAAATAACATTTCGAGGAAAGTATGGTGTTATTGAAGTTTATTAACAATAAACAAAAGTATTGGTTGATAAAGGCTCCACGGTACATATCATTTATTCTAGTTTTAAACTTATTATTCTTTGTTAATATGTTAAGTTGTTTGTTTTTGTTTAAAATAATTTGCTAAATTGGCGGAAGATTTATCGACATTTACATTTGTTGACAAAATTGATATTATGTTGAAATTTCAAATACTAATTATGAATTTAGAATAATTCGCTTCATAAGTCTATGATTATGTGAATAAGTTTAATTATATATAACTACATCATCTTGCGATAATAAAAAAATTTTTAGCAGAAAAGAATGGTTGATTCCCTCGAAAAAGTTGCCATATTATTGATAAAATTAATATTATTTATAAATAACTTATCTGGAAGATTGAAAATCTTATAACATTTATTTACAACTTTGGAACATTAGGCGAAGTTGTATAACTTCCTTAAAGCTCGTCTGGTAATATAATCTACTATCCCGTATTGTATCTTTGCTTCACCTACTTACTGAGGGATATAACAGGTGCTTAATGTGTTGGCAAATTAGTTTATAAAAACTTTCAAATTATTTCAGATTTGCAAACTTACTAACATACGATTTTGAATGTATGAGTAGTCAATATTTAAATTTTGAGTTACGTGGATTCTTTAGTATCTTTGAACTTTCATCATAATGTTCGATCGATAATTTGTAATCTAAAAAATTGAAATTTGGTAATTCTAATTTCTTCTAAACTTTGATGTATCTGATCGAATTCGATGAACTTTTTTTCATCAAATTTGGTCAGGTGAGTGTCGAGATGTCTTCGATCAAATTTAAAAAAATCTTCAACGCATCTTCTATTTTATAGACATTCAAATTTTACAAAACTTTGATCGAAGATATCTTGACATCCACCTGATAAAATTTGATAAACTTTTTTTAATTGTAGAAATTTGTGATTAAAGCAGAACATACAGGCTAATATTAACATAATGTATGCCTGATTGTCATTTTATTATCTTGATTAATTGGGGGTACATTCAGATTGTTAATTAACAAAATTCTTAATAAATCAATTCAACTAAATCACAGTGGCTTATTTTTGGCAATCTTCTTTATAATGAACTCTAAATATGCCAAAACTTAAATATTTACAAAATTCCTATATGTAGTTATACAAGTCTATTACAAAGTCAATCTATTAATTCTGTTAAATTTTTTTTAATGATTCTATGCTTGATCTTTTTTTAGTACTAAATCTACCATACAAATCTCTATACTGTATTACATGAGAAAAAATTAATTAGATCAAATTATACATTATTCGTTGAGAGTAGTGTAACCATCATAGTATCTAATAACATCTACGTACTGTACGTATGTATAATGTGCATCAGTATAATTTAGGATGTTATATACAGATCAGTAAATAGAGATATTCTCCATCATCCAATTTTTTTACGTATTTTTTTTAATTTTTATAAAACAAGAATGCCGTACAAAGAAGATTTGACAAAAATAATCAATGTTTACAATAAACTAAATCTCACTGATTGTCAAAAATTAGCAGATATGAACTATCCAGACAGAATTTACAAGCTTGGATATTGTTATGAATATGGAATTGGGGTCAAAAAAGATGAAAACAAGGCATTCATTTATTATCAAAAATCAGCAGACATAAATAATTCTAACGGAATGTATCAAGTTGGCTATTGTTATTATTTAGTATTGGAATTAAAACAGATAAGAATAAAACATATACATATTATCTGAAGGCTGTCAAGGTAGGTAATTCTATGGGAATTTGGAAAACTGCATTTGTTACCTTTATGGAATTGGCGTTGAGAAGAATGAAGATAAATTTCGGGAATGGTTTGAAAAGTATATTACTTTTATTAATATAATGTTTGATTATAGTCCATTTAAAAATTTCTTACACGATTTTAATTATCAGAGAACAAGCATAAAGTGCATTCATTAACCTATATTAGCAATTTAAGCTTAAAATATTTGTTGTTTATTATTTTAGCACGTAAGTATAATGAATAACATTTGGGGTCTTTGCCTTGAAAATGACCTTGCGGTACATGATACCGTAAGGTCATTTTCAAGGTTTAGTAATTTTGCAAATAAAAATTGGCAAAATAAGTCACAAAACAAGAACATAGGTACTTATTTACCATTACGTACAAATCACATCATTAGGGAGTTTCAGAATTAATGATTCGGCGTCCGATTTCAGATAAAATAAGTGACGTATTTATTTCAAAATAAGCAACGTACGAATTCTATTTTCTTTAAAGTATATACAGTACTTATTTACATAATCGTTTACCGATGAATGTTTGTGAAAAAAAGCTAATTTTATCACCGGCTATGCCTATCTAATTTTCTGATTCGGAATTCTAAAATAGAAAATAGGTCCTTTTAAACTCTCACTTATTTTAAAAAGTTAATTCTGAAACCCCCTATTAAGTGATTTCAGAATGAAAAAACAGCGTATTTCAGAAATAAATAAGAATTTAAATAATCTTATTTGTGGTCGCGAAATAACGCGCAGGGGTGTAATTTCGAATTTGGCTTAATTCGGGTCACTAATTAAAATAACGCTCCTGGGCGTTATTTGCGTTTATATGATAATAATTTTATGCTTGAAGGTTTTTCTTTTTAGCACCAATAAAAATTCACCTAGAAATATAAATATGCTTAAACCAATCAAAATTAGCATTTGTCATACGATTATGAATGACGTCATTGTTAACAAATTAACACTAACTTTGGCCGAGTGTTTAATTTTGTGATGTGATGACCACTGGTTTCACAATTCTTGAAACTACCAACGTAAAGTTAAAGAAAATCAAATATTGAATAAGGGTTCTTTTGCTTTGATAATCATGTAACAGACAATAAAAGACGAAAATACTCAATATATTATGTAATATAGGATGGTCTCGGTCACACTAGGTTATTGCACGGCTATAACCGGTCAATAACCGCGTTTAATCGTAATCGAACCTCATCCCTATATAAGGGAGATGAGGGTATTGTGGACAGGGGTATTGTGTTCAAGTGAGAATATCCTGTAATCCAGTGATCAGAATTAAATGATTTTTGTATTATTTGATTCGTCTCTTTGAGACGAATCGAATGGTGCAAAAATCATTTAATTCTGATCACTGGATTACAAGATATTCTCACTTGAACACAATACCCCCTGTCCACAATACCCTCATCTCCCTTATATCCTTAATCCATAATTAAGGTGAGTTTGATTACGCTAATCGGTCAAAGACTTTTAACTTTATGTATATCTGAAATTAACTGAACTAATAATTGACTGTAACGCTCCGAACGGGTCGGGTTATGAGCCAACCCGAACCCGACCCGAAATTTCGGGTCGGGTCGGGTTAAAAATTTTCGG